TCCTCTCCTAACCGCATTCCAGGCAGCCATTTAAGCATTCTACTTTACAGATTATTGAAGAAAATAACTTCTGCTTATACTAAGAGAAATATTTTCAGGAACTTGCTAGGCTACTTTTTTACTTTTTTGTACATATATTTTTATATACACTTTTATACATTCTTTTACATATAGAAGACATATAAAACCACCTTGTGTATTTTCTTTGTACACACCTATACTCTGGTATTTTGCCAGCAAAATCACCAGCTTCTGCAAACCACAGAAGGCTTTTTCCTTAGAGGCATACAGAATGGGCGCAGCAAACTTGTTTGCAGCAGGGTCCTTGCAAGACCTTATATACTGAAAGACTGTAGTACAGGAATTAGTGCATGTGTAAAGTGTTTCCTGCTCTGCATTTCTCATCTTCAGAAAGCCCAACAATCTAAGCAGAGTATCATGTTTTCTCTTTGAATCACAGTTGAATTGTGCCTTAACAGAAAATGCTATTCTGAGTTGCAATTTAGCTTCACCTGCAGTCATAAAACAATACATTCAGAATGCTTTATCATAAAGAAGTTTTGTGAATGCACACTCCTGAAAAAGACGGGGAATGGAAGAGTAAGTAAATGGCAGGTACCTGACTTCCCTGTCCATCTGTCCTCTACTGCACACCCAAATAATTCCATTCTCCTCGGAGGTACTGGTAACCCCCCTCCACTGGCACCACACAGCAAGTTCAAAATACAGATAAACGCTGAGCAGCAGGAAAGGTGGTTGCAGTGAATTAAATAAAAGTGCTGACAGCCATTCCCTTGCTTGATGTCCCTGTCTGTACACACTGGGGAAGAAATCAACAGTTCCCAACTCCCAGTCATTATTTAGCAGTTTTTGTTGATTTCAACTCGTCAGATATGTGCATCTAAGGGCAGTGTTCATTGTTGTAGTCTAAATTGGTAAACCTATATAACAGGGTCTTTCTGGTCTTCCTTGAATTTAGGCTCATTATTTGTTCTGTACTCATATATTACTCTTAGTCCATATGAATTCAAATTGATGACAAAAAGGAACTGACTGCTTATAAATTAACTGCTGCACATGCAATAGGCACTTCACAGGCAGGGCCTCAAAGGATGAGAGGAAATCACCGTTCACCAATCCCCCGTTGACATCTCAGACCTCTCTTTTCCACTTCTTCAGCTCTTGCAGCATTTGTGGTTACTTTTTACCTCCCACTCCTAAAATCACAACTCCTACAGGGCTCTTGCAACCGACCTACCGACTTTTCAAGGGCTGGAAGCGGGGCCCATCATGGGGCTTTCCTTGCTGAGCAAGGCAGGCGGCAGCAAGGCCCCAGGGCTGCCCGTGCACAGGGGCACGGCTTCCTCCTGCCTGCATGGGCTGCTGCTCACCCCGGGCCGGGGGAGCCCTCGGCAGCGGCCGCGGGGCCGGTGCCTCCCCGGGCCCAAGTGAAGGGGCCAGCTCGCCCACCTGGGAGGGAGCCACGGCGCAGCCGGGCCTCGGCAGTGGCGGGCTCCGCGAGGGCCTCTGGTGGCAAGGGCGGCGTTGCTGCGAGGTGCCGGGCCTCAGGCAGGGCCGAGGGGCCTCAGGGGCTGCCCTGAGCGACTTCACAGCAGCAGGGGAGGAGGAGCAACATCAGCCTGGCGTTCGGCGGGTACGGCTGCTAGCACCGGCTGGGCGTGCCGGGGAATGGCGTCAACTGGAGGAGGGCTGGCTGCGCTCCCAGCCGGGCCATGGCTGCAGGCCGCACCTGGAATCAGCACGGCCTGACCCATCTGCGAGGCAGCTGCCATCGCTCCGAGTTAATCCTCGGGCCTTCCAGCCTTGGGTGCTCCGTGCGCCACGCTGGCCGCCGGAGCTGGTGTCCCCCTGAGCAGTGCGGATCCCTCCCGCCAGCCCCATCAGGAGCTTTGCTCTAGCCACAGGCCATTTTGGGGGGGGGGGGGATAAAGGAGGGGCACGATTTTTTGTCTGCCCTGTTAGCTAAAAGCAGGGTCTTTTTCATTTCATTGCTCCCTTTCTGAACCCACACAGCACCAGGGTGAAATAAACCCTTCTTTTTTTTTTTTTTTTTTTTCTTTTTTCCTTTTTCAGTGTTGAAACAGCTTTCCAGTGACATCATACATTTAAACTTGCCTGAGGGTGTCCTAATGTGTAAGGAGAGAAGAGCAGAGAGAATGGGGGAAGAAAGAGCCCAGGGATCTGGTATTTAATCTCAGCTCTGTTACTGGCCAGCAGACATCCAACACTTGACTTTTTTGTGTGTGTGCTTTAGATTCTCCTTCCATAAATTGGTAACAGGAACTGTTTGCAATGCCTTTTTACATCTTTTAAGAAGTTTTCAATTTAAAAAAATACAGAATTTTCTTTGAGGAATTCTTAATTGCTATTATAAATATGCTTATTCACTATTAGTAATTCCATGTTTAACTCCCAAAAAAATTTCAGAAACACTGTCTCTAAAATAAAATAAAATAAATAAAATCCAATATTTTGTTATTCCTCAAGAATTAAAACTATTCAACCGCTTGGACTCTACTTTCAAATAACACTAATGTAAACAAGGTCTGGTCATTATATTTATCAAATGTTAATATATATTTGATATGAGATACATACTCATATGAAATATAGGTGTTATAATATATTTAATATATATTATTACATAATAATTTGGGGGTTGCCTTTTAGGATTTTTGGCCCTGGCTGCTGACTTCAGTGCAAAGCCGCTGTCTGAAGGGGCGAGAGACTTGGACAAAGAATCTATGTTAAATGTATGTTCAATTATTTTATCATATTTCTCAGTGTGCTGAGGTGTTCTACATAGCGAGCATTATTTATGAATCACCCAGAGTTTTTCCAGATTTTATTTTTAGAATTCCTGAATGATAAATAGCTTATAACTGGGCCATAAAACATGATATGTGCAATTTCCTTTAATATCTTTCCCGAAGAAAAAAATCCTAAAAAAGAGTGTAGTATAAAATTAAAAATCCAAATTATACTTCATTTCAAACAGTTTCTAGTCCTAATTGTCTCCAGATTTTGATTGTTATTTTAATTAAATGTTAAAGAGAGGGAATATGATCTCCAAGATAAGTAAAAAGATGTTGATGATAAAATAATTACCTCTCCAGATATAAATGTTCCTGGGCAGGTATTAGCAGATTCAGTAATATTCAGTGCTAATAGTGACATTAATTTCTCTTATGCAAGTTAATGTCACAATAGCTCCATCGTGTGGTTGACTGAATATTACTCAGTGATTAATTTTCTTTTAGATTCTATAGGTAAAGGTTGAAAACAAAAATTAAAAAAATGCTGGTGAGGAGAGGAAATTTTATATGCAGTTAATTTCACTGCATTTTTTTTTGTGGGGGAAAAAAAAAAGGAACTGGAAACAAAAATAAAACCTGAGTGTTTAGTAGTTGCAATTTGCCATATATAAGTAGATAATTATCCAGTGGAGAAGTTCTATTTAAACATTATTTTAGAAAAACAAAGAACAAATTTTGTAAATATTATGATTAGATTATTGCTGAGTTTATGAATCACATGTACACTGCCAGTTATGTTTTGTTTTGATTTCATATAGGTGTTCAAAAATGATGATGCCAATCGGCAGTTTAACCTTGAAGCTGCAATTAAAAATGTTGACAGAATGTCCAGTGAGCTGAAGAAACTAAATGGTAATTCTGGGTTCGTTAACCAGCTAAACCAGAAGCTGTTTAAGGCATCATTTTTAAAAGTGTGCAGTTGTGAATGGCTTGTTTTTCTATGTCATACAACTGTTTTTTAATGTAATGAAACAATACAGTTGCTCTTTTGTTTTGAAAAATTAATGAAACTGTAGTTCCGTAGATATGGAATCATTTTAGCCAACCATGGAAAAAAATCTGTTAAGTAGTCAAAGTTGGTCCTTTGTAGGAACAATAATAGTCTCTTCATAAAAATATTAACAGTATGGGAATACCAAACTTTATTTAACTGTCTTGAAGTAAATAAAACAAGGCAAACCTTCATATTTTTGAAATAGTTGATAGATGAACACTTCAGAAAGTGCTGTATGTAATTTGTCAATCACTTAGTGTTTACCATTCAGTACACAGAATGATGATACAGTGCCCTTTGTCTTTCAGTGGAAAGCCATCTACTGCTTTGTGACCTCATTTTGAATTTCAGCCATCCTGTGAAGGCCCAAGATTTAAGAGAAGCTGAAGAAAAGACTTGGAGTTTGACAGATTAAGTAATAACATCCATTTTCATGCATTGTCTTCTATTAATACTGCTTCTGTTTGAATTGTAAAACGATAATATGGTTTCCTGCAGTTAGGCTATTTTTATTTTAAACTGAAAATGTGGAGCGGAAAAATGCTGTAAGTAGGTTATTGATTTTTGAGACCTTTTTTTTAGCACAGATTTCCCAAATTAAGCCCACGAGGGCTGGAAAGACTGATATAATTAACTAGAAAGTTCAGGAAAAGTCATGAAGCTTTTCACATGTGGTTGTCTCCTTTTAAACAAAGACATATTGGAACTGTAACAAAATATTTTAAATTACTTCAAGTCACTGCTCTCTTATCTTGGTTGTGCTCCGGAAAGTGGGATAAGAAACAGTCAGTAAAGGGGGAACTGCAACTGTCATTTGATCTGCCTTCCTCATTCTAAAAATGCTGCTGAGGAAGGGGGTGAAAGAGCAGATTACTTCTGGGAAACTGAAAGTACTTTCATTATAGTTTCTGTAGTGACTTTCTAATGCACCTAGCTACAAAAGAAAGAAAGGTTTAGTGGTCTAAATACTCTATCCTGAAATCTTGGCTCAAAATTTGAGTAGCCGTTATTGATATGTAGTCCATTACAATTAATATTCAATCATACTTTACTTGTGAACGTGTTTGAATGTTGAGGTGTGGTTTTATGCACATATTAAATGTATTTACCTGAATAATCAAACCAGGATTTACTCTGCTGAAAAAAATATGCAGTGTTGTACTTTTTTATGCTGGTTTACATTTTATTTGTGTTTCACTAATGAGATGATTTAAAACAAATAAAACACAGTTCCATAGGAGATATTTCTGGGTTGTCAGACTTTTCAAGGCAGTGCAGTGAAACAGAATTACAACCCCAGCTCACAGAATCAGTGGTAATATTAGGGACGTTGGTAAGGATTTTTTGAAAACCATACGTTATCACTGACTTTTCTTTCACAAGATTAATAGTGAACTTTTAAAGAATAGTGGACTAGAAACAGTTTTTTTCAGCTGAATAATTTTAAGAATTTTATTTTTCATCTTTTGTTTCAACTCATAGTTGCATGGAAATTAAATTTGCTAACTTTGAATTCCAGCTCCTAGCAAAATATATTAGAAAGGAAAATAACATTTACAAAACACATATATTTAAATTAGAACTGTTTATGAAATCTGATTATTTTATCCCAGAAGCTATACAAATTACATGGAAGATAGTCTTCTGCCTTGAATTTTGGTTTAAGTGTTTCAAGTGATATACACACAAATGGCTTTAAAGGAGAAAAAGTGTGACAAATTCTAACATCATTATCAAACTAAGGTCTTGTCATAAAACAAAGGTTACGGGAAAACCAAGGCAAAGAGTGGGATAAATCTCACTTACCAAAGGAGAGGGAAAAACTCTTGACATATTATGCTTTAGTGGTCCTCAGTTTCAACTTATATTTTAGAACATGAGAATGTTATTGTTTTTTATTGAAAAAAAACCAAAACAAAACAAAACCAAAACAGTTAAATCAGAAAGCAGTTGTATAAGAGGAACTAAGTTTAGCCTGATTGTGTCTGTCTGCTTTCTAAGAGATTTGGGTGTGTTCTTCCAATTAAGAATCACATGATGATAATCTTGTTGATGTGTCTCCTACAAAAACCCACAGTTACTTAATTTAAAGGAAGACAGCTAAAGACAGTTCTGTGTTAAGGGAGAAAAGCTTGTTTCTGAGTGAGGGTGGAGAATCCTAGGAGTTACATAATTCCAATTAGTGGGTAAGACATGCCATCAGTAAATTAGCAGTGGTATAGCAGAGAGAACATGATATTTGTAGATATTTTATTTTTCTATGAAACAGTTTCACAGCTAACATAGACACAGATCTCGACAAGCAGCTGTATATCCAGGGTTGTTTTTTTTTTTTCTGGTGTCACTGAAACCTAGGTGTCTTTAGGATCCAGGTCAGCATCCGACTCTTTTCATAGAAGTGGTCATAGTTAGATTTGGTGGGGAGTGGACTGGGGAAAAAAATTGGGCTTTTCTTGTCTTTTGTCTACTCCTCAACTTTGACAAGGTTTGGGTCTACTCTGTATGTACAGTAACATAATGGCTGCTGCAGTTCTGATCTGAAAAATCTTTTTTTTTTTTTTTTTTTTCCCTCCTATGAAGGCAGAGACTTGTATCGGTATTTATTTCTGGGTCCTCTAATCTGGTATGGAAATCATTTCAAGAACACACACCTATGTTGGAAGATAAAAATTCTCATGTACAGTATGGTTAGTGGACAGTAATAAACACATCGTAGGAAAACCAGATTTATAGAGTACTGCATTTAAAGCATAATTTTAAAAGAACATTGTCCTTTTCCCTTAAATTTAAAGGATTTTTAATTCTTTATTTTAGTTTGCTGAAAAAGGAAATATCCTGAAGTTTACAAACTTCAGTAGGCTTCAATACTGCATGTGCTCTTCATTAAGGTATCTTTTAAATATGTCCTGCAGCGTATTTTAACATGCACTGGTTTCTTGAACCTCTGTCTTTTCCATCAATCAGAAGAAGAGGTGTTCTTTGAAAGTAATCGATGATATCTGCTACAGAAGAAAAGTCCTGTGGGATGGAAAAATTGAGAAGGCTATGATAAAAAATGTTAGACTTATTAGTAATTAGTAAAACCAAAAGGTTTTTTTTTTTAAACTCTAAATATTTAGCCATTTTATAAGGCCCACTAAATACTATCAAATCAGCTGATTTCATTCATGCCATAATCTGTAGCTCAATAGCTGTTAATTCAGTGTGTGTACAACCTACAGCAATGTTGTATAATTAATTTATGCAGTCTCGGCCTATTTAATACATGATGTTGTCATTCTGCCTGATACGATGATTGCATGTGAAAGTTCAAAAAATTGACTGATAAATCCAGAGTTCTGACTCGATCAGAACTGCAGTACATCTGCGGACTGGTCTGTCTGGTGCCAGTAAATCCAACACAGTACTGCTAGACATAAGTAAACTAGCAGTCTGGGAGCAAAGCAGTCAAGTTGGCAGATAGGTATTTGCTCTCAACTGTGCATTTCCCTTGTCTGGTATGTTAGTTGTAAATAAATATTCCCTAACCAGGTATATGGATTTTTAATAGTTGTATTCTGAGGCTATCCCTTCATTCCCTGGGTGCAAACAGGAGAATCTGATTTTACTTCAAGTGGTAACATATTCTATCAGGAGTAACTCTACAGCAGAAAGCAGAATTCCTCTGGAGTAAAACAGCTGCCAGGTTAAGTAGCCTGACATTTAGGAATGAGACAGGAGATACCTTAAGATTAAGGGAAGTAGTGTGAAAAACACGTAGTACCTCTTTTCCTTTTAAACCAGTTCCTAGCAAATAGATGTGATTTTGCTCCTGGTAACGAATCTGGATGTTGTATACTTTATCTCTGTATAACACCATCAGTACATATGGATGAGTAGCAGTTTTTCTTGAGCTGTCTCTCACCAAGAATGTTCCATCCTGAAAGAGGAAAAAAATGAAAGATGACAAATAAACGTCACTTCTGGGTTTGATCAGCATAACGTTACCTAGAGCACTCATGCTTTTAAGTGTGTTTTCTTTCTGAAATCTATTTCCTCTTAGTAAGAGAAACTGTACTATTAAAGAGTTTAGGTCATTTCTCAGATGTTTTATCTTTCAATTTACTATTTAAAACTTTCCTGTCTGATACAAATGCAGATTTTTAGGAAAGGGAGGAATGATGTTCTATGAGGGAGAGATTCAATTAAATGAGGAAGTAAAATATCAAAGGTCAAACCTCACATCACTTTAACCAGAAAAGAAGTTAATTTCTGGTAAGTGCCAATCAAGGTTCCTATGTGTTTTATTTACAGACAGCCTAAATTAATGATAGTGTCTGTGTAACTTTGGTAAAGGCAGTGATGTCTTGCTCTCTCTCTCTGCTTTTACTCATTTCAGATCTGTTTTAATAAGTCTTCCATTGAAACACCCTTTCTTAAAGGCACTGACTGTGATCTCATAAACTGGACCTTAGTACAAGTCATTGAAATGCTGTACATGCCGTCTTCAGCTCACTACATGAGCTGTGAAGCACCATAAACAGATTTCCCACAGTGATGGGACACGATTTGGTTTATCTCCACATGCACAGGTAAGCCTGGGTTTCATCTGTTTGAATATGTACTTCGTTTTGCTGGTAAATAGGGGCTCAAAAAGGGTGAGGTTCATCTCATCTAATTAAAGTGGTCTGAAACATGGAGTTTGCAACAAAGTCCTCACTGGTGACAGAGAACTATTTCTAGAGAAAAAAGTGACTCCTCCTTAAGAGACCTGAGGTGAAACTGTTTATTGGAGAGACAGAATTTGTTCTCTTGGACTATGGAAAACAACAGCCTTCATGGCTGGTTTAGACTAGATGTGTGACTTCTATGTGGGTAAAGATATCCAAGGTGAGTCCCTCCCTCTAAGTATCTGTATTGGGGCTATAACCTCACCATGTTATTTACCTTCACTCTTCCCATATCAAGGGAATAAACAGCAAGGACATCTAACTAGGAGATGGTGAGAATAACCAATAATTTAAGAGTACCTTGTTTATTTTTCGAAGAGCTGCTTCTGCTTCTGGCCGGCTAACATAAGCAACATACCATTCATCATTCAGTGAGTCCTATGTTTTTTGTGCGAGAGGATAAAGGAGAAAGTCAGCTGTCAATCAAACTTGTGATGTTAACAACACACAAATAGGTAGAGAGAAATTTGAATATGGGGGGTGTTCGGGTTTATATCCAGATTCTCTGAAGATACAAGCTTCAGAGATCATACTAGTATATATTACTGTATGGTAAGTGTCACTAAATGATTTTAAAATTATTTGCTCACTTTGATAAATTTGTAAATATTACAGACCTAGATAAAATATGTCTGCAAGTAAGCTAGGAAAACAGATATTTCCAAGTATTTTCAGTAAAAGACAGATTTTAAGTGACATTTTCTCTTTTGTCTGCCTGGGACACTAGCATCCTTTGCCTTCTTTTTTCTGGGTTTTTTAAAATTATTTAATTCTATTTTTTTAATTTTTAACTATCATCTGAGACAATAATGCAGACTTCCTGTGAACATGCCATGTATGGTTGCCCAGCAGTGTTATCACCAGGAGTGGTTTGCTCTAAACTTGTCATATTTAAAGAAATGTGAAACAAAACTGCACTTAAACGGTATTAATTCTTTACTTGCCAGAGTCATGGTTTGGGCCAGGTTTTGTGGAAGGAGAAATTAATGTGTAATGCTACTTGAAGACAATTGTGCAAAACAAGTAAATCAGCAAACAAGTATTTTTCTTATTTTGTTCTGCTGGGTATTTGCTATTGTTTTTCGTGGTGAAGACAAAATAAGGCACTAAAGTTTGACACAGAAAAGGAAACTGAAAGCACCTACTAACATCCTGACAGTGACTACTAACTAGAAAAACAACTTTGAAAAACATTCTCTCTCAAAATCAGAAAATTTGCTGTGCTTAGCAGTTATGGTTAATACTTGTAATGTTTTGTACCTCATCTTCCTCCATGTTTGTTTGGTGAGCAGTCTGTCTGCTAGGAATTGGCAATGGAGGTCTGATGTCAGCTGCGCCTCTTGAAGGGGATCTGCTGTTGTTTCCTTCAAAGATATAAAAGTAGAAAAAAATGTTAAAATCAGGAAAATTATTTCATCTGTGTAGTGCATACAGGGTGTACAATTTTAATTTTAAGCGGCATGCAGAATTTATTTCATTCTGATACTGAGACATTTTGGACTGATTTGAATCAGATTGAGGCTACTGTATGAGGACCAGGTTCTTTACAGAAATTCATCTTTGGTGCACAGGGACTTTAACTGAACTCTTGCAGTTCAGGTTTCTGTAAAATCAGATGAACTTGAAATCGAGGTTACATCTTTTCAGTTTCTGTGCCACAGTTACTCAGTTGAGAACATCTCCGGTTTCTTTAGAGACAGAAGTAAAGTTGTCTTTCTGCATTCCTTGCTTACTTAGCATCCAGAAACAACAAAATGTCACTGTAAGACATTGGCAGCTGTTACCATATAGGAAAAATTATTTACAAAGCAATTGATTTCTATTATTCCTTTATTTTTTATCATTATAAGATAAATATGCATTGTATTTCACATGGAAAGTGTTTTCTCCCTTTTATGAGAGTATTAGTATACTACCGTGCCTTGCAGGTAGTGTTGGTCACCTCTCAGTAGTGTTAGCTATATTGAAAAAGATGCTTATATGAAATTTTGACAGTGGTTTAACTAGGCAGTAAGCCCAAACTTCATGTGAGAAAAACCTTTTAGATTCAGACTAAGTTACACAAGACGGCTTTCAGGAACTTGATAGTTTTCTGTTCACAGTCCAGTCAGAAACATCCACAGAACAAAAAGATTATATTAACTGCACTGAAACAACCTTTCAACCTTCAGTCATTTTTTGTACAAAAAATGCAGGAATGCATGATACAAACCTAGATGTAAGCGTGGTGGTAGTGAGCCACTTGAAGACAGGTTTCTAGCACTGTTTAGAGAAAAAAAAAAAAAAAGTAGTCTGTATAACATTGCTATACAACATTTCTGTGCTCTGAAGAACTGATCTGGACTTTGTGCCTGTTTTACAGAATGTGAGATCCTATTGTGACCTATGCAGGATGAGAATAGCCTTTTCTTTCTTATTTTTGTTTTTCTTTTTTTTTTTTTTTTAATGTAATTAGAACCTCCATTAATTTTACTTGAAGCTCAGCATCTGGGAATAAGAGAGAATCAATAATGGGCCACCAAGACTTCTGTATCAGGGTCAGTGCAGAAAACTACTTCAGTTTGTTGAGTTTTCAGAGGGATTGACTACTTTATTCCCCTAAAGCAGGAAGCACAGGCAACAGCTTGCTAGATGTTTCTTTCTGTGGGGTTCCACTTACAGAGTCATTTTGCTTGTGGCTTCTATAATGTTGGTGAAATGCAGTTTCTCACCATTAATGTTGCAGCTATGAATGTGGAGCTACTGGCAAGAGTCCAGTGAAGGGCCACTAACATGATAAGGGACTGGAGCATCTCACATATGAGGAAAGGCTGAGGGACCTGGAACCGTTTAGCCTGGAAAAGAGAAGGCTGAGGAGGGATCTTATTAATGCATATAAATACCTGAAGGGAGAGCCGGGCTCTTTCCAGTGGTGCCCAGTGGCAATGGGCACAAATTGAAACACAGGAGGCTCCCTCTGAGCATCAGGAAACACTTTTTTTTTTCTGTGAGGGCAACTGAGCACTGGAGCAGGTTGCCAAGAAAGGTTGTGAAGTCTCTGTTCTTGGAGATACTCAGAAGCCATCTGGACATGGTGCTGGTCAGCCTGCTCTAGGTGCCCCTGCTTGAGCAGCAGCGTTGGACCACATGGTGTCCAAAGGGCCCTGCCAACCTCAACCTCTCTGTGATTCTGTAAGCTATGAGCTGACGGTAGCATAGAGCTCATACACACAGCACCATAATACTTCCACATGCCTATGCTTTTCCTCCTGTGTTTATTTTTATGCTTTTTGTTAGAAAATGTACAATTTCTTTTTATGGCCTGATCCCAGAACTCACATATAAAACTTCTCAAAAGTCCCAATCTTCAATTTTTATTTTTTTTAATTTCTTCACCTAATTTGGAGCAAACTGCCTGCATGATTTTCCTTTACAGTTCATGTTTCTCTTCTGCTTAAATGAACTGTACAAAAAGCTCTGGGATGAATATGTTAATTATGTTTGCAGAACAAAAACACCCTATCATGACTTGATTCATGAAAGAGAATCAGCCAAATGGGGAGCTCTGCTATAGGAAAATTTGGCAACATTGTATGAATACAAGCAGGAGTATTCATCATAGGAATAGTTCATATTTGCATATGACCTTGCTATTGCTGCTGCAATATTTGTTCTACTGGGGTGTCAGCAGTTCCAGGGGACGATGGTAAATGGTAGGAATTCATCAAAGAACCATTAAAAAAATACGGAGATTAGAAAATATACTTGAGATTTAGACTCAAAGAGCCCACTAACTCATCAAAGGCTAAGTCAGTTGCACACTACATCAGAAATCAAAATTTAATTAAGGGCTCTTCCATCTAGTGAATGAAGACATAAAAATCTAATATTTGGAAGTTGAAGGCAGAAGAAAATCATAGTTGAAACAAGGTTAATAATTTTAAATAATTATTAAGCATTAGAGTAAAATTTAGTAAAAGGGTGGTGAAATTCTGTCAGATTCAACTCTAGACTACTAAGGTTGTGGGTTTTTTTAGTTTTGAAGAAACTAAAAAGTTTAGTTTTTGAAGAAACTAAAAAGTAGTCGCAGCTCTAGCACTTAGGCTCCTAGATCGTGCAGAATCCTTTTACATAAGGACCTCTTTGACCTATATCTTGCATAGTTTTGTAGAAGATAATGCCTTCCCAAAAGGTCTTGTAATTCTTACTGATTCTGCAGGCAATAGGAGACATGTCTCCGGAATGGAAGCATTGTACCAAGTCAGCCCTAAATTATTTCCTTGACATAAAACTGGGACATTTGCATTTTATTCTTGGTTCCCTGATGTACATTAACTGCTTCACAGAATACAGAGCTTAAATTATATGAAGGATCCTCCTTGATAGCAGGAACAACACAGATTAGGATGTAGTGGAAGCAAGGGTATAGCCTGAAAAATAATCGACTACTTCAAATAGTTACCTTGTGTTCCCCTGAGAACCCTGTAGCCATGTACATACTATTATTTGCTGAATTGCAAAGAGATTAAGGTTCGAAAGGAATGACACAGTCATGGGTGAAACAAACCTTTCTGCACCAGGCATACTGTTGGATCCTGGCTTAGGTGGGGGCTTGATAGATTTGGATGGGAATGTATTGGAGCTGTATGGAGGCAAAGATAGTTGTGGCACTGGTCTTTGGGGTGCAGCTGTGAAGAGGAAGAGGAGGAAACTTGTGAGACATTCTTAAATTAGGTAGAATGAAGAAATGCTGTCACTGCTGTTCAATTAGATAAACATAATGGTGTAAACTGTTCTATAAAATGTCCTTCATATGTTAAAGATTGTAAATTCATATGGTCAACTGAGAACTTAAAGTTAAGCATTAAAATTAAAAATAAACCAGAACAAGCTTGAACAACATTTACATTTTCTAACTTCTGTTTTGGATAAGCCACAATTCAGATGTCCTAACTGCAGCTGAGCTGAAGGTGGTACATAACCATGTGTTCTCTGTTATGTTGCTTCTAAATAGTGGATTTGAGGTTGCCTTTTGAACTTCATTCCTTTGTGAGATTTCTCCCATATCATCAAAAGCAACAGCATAAAAGAAAACATTTTCTTTCTGCAATGTCCTCAGACCTCCACTACTGGTAAGGGGGGAACAGATTAATTGTGCTCTGCACAGTTTAAATAGCCCTATTCTTTATGGAGTCTTAGAGGGAGTGATAGTTTGTTGAGATGTGACCAAATGTTCTGCTTCTGTTATGGCATCACTTTACCAACTTAATTTGAGGAACCGGGAACCTGAGGTAATTTCTGAATACTATTATTACATGAAACAAGTTCTGCTTCTGCTCATTAGAGTAAATAGCATGACACAGAAGACTAGTACCAGCCAGCTTTGACTGAAAGTTTTGTTGAGAGCTGGGGGGATACCAGGTTTACATGCCTATCTGATGCTGTGTGCAGATCACAGATCTCTAAAATGTAATGTGTTTCAAAATAAATCCTGCTGTCTTGTAACTGCCTGACTGAAGGAAGCTAGTAGCTATTGATTTCCTGTGTTTTGTGGCTTTGATATATAAATCTACATGAGGTACTTTATAAGCATTCAACAACCTGTCAAGATACCACCTGACTTTTTGAACTTGCTCTAAAGAAACAATTATGCAAGAAATTTTTTTTTTTTTGAGAACTAAGACAAAAAAAAAATTAGATTTTTAAAATCACTGTAGAAATACTTACTTTCTTCTTCTTCCTGGGGAGCCAAAAGAAAATAAAAATTAGCAACATATATAGCACAGTTCTTAGGAATATTTTACAAAACAAAAACCTGGAAGTTGGATTCTGAGTGTACAAGAACTCTAATATCTATACTGTCACTTTCATCTAAAATGCTAGGGTTTCTATCTTCATGCAACACCAAATCATTTTTAAAGTTCTTGTGTTAAGGTGCAGCTGTTATTTACAAATAAACTGTGGCATAGGTGTCCCATAATGGATCTTGACCCAGAAATGTAAACTTTCCTCACTCCTTCAGTAAGTGTAGGTTCTCAGAGTTATCTGAAAGTGAAATCCTTAGGTCAGCTTAAGCTAAAAAAAAAAAATCAAAACCCCAAAACCTAGTGTAAGCAAAATCACTTCTCCCATGTCATAAAAAAAATCTGGCCTTATGCTTCCTGTTATCTAAGATAAAGTGCTCAGGGAATAAACTGAGCTTGACATTGAAAAACTGTTTAAAAAGAAATCATGTAGTATGAAAAATCCATGTGTATTCATTATAACCGATAAAAGAAATGAATTTACCTTTTCCAGAATTATTAGTTTATACATTTACTTAATTTTATTGTAGTCCCTATACCTTTAAATATTTGCTTTGACACTATACTTACTCCATTTTTTTTGTGTGGTGGCCAACCCTGCCTGAAATGAAACAGAGAAATCAAAGCATGAATCATAGATGGACTATTACTCATTCGCTTTGTGTGCATTAGGCCATATTTTCAACTAACACATGAATTTATAGTAAGTTTTGCAGACCCCATGAATGCAGAAACATTTTTTTTCTCATAAAAATATCTAAGATTCTAATTTTCAGCAATAATCAAAGACCTTATGCTAGTCCTTAGCCCATCTTGATTCTATCAACAAGGAAAATGTCTGATGAATTGATTATAAGATTAGAGTTTAAAACAAGTTTTTAGAATGATGAAACAGACTTCAAGTCTTGAACTCATGTATAGTGCTTAGCAACATTACTGGAGCACATGATAAGCCTTCCAGTCTTTGTTTCTCAGATAAATTATCCTGGCTGATTAGCAGATCTCAATTACTTTCACTAAGTCACACTGCTTAGCCTAGAAGTTATCTAGAAATTATCTAGTTCTGCTGGAGAATGCTGCTTGCTGTTAAGAAAGAGCTTTGCAGGCTAGTGAAGTCAATGGTAGGAAAGTAAAGCTTTCTTTTTCTAACATCCTTAATAAAATAGGAATAGAACTCATGAAAGAATGTTTCCTAGAGCAAGAACTTGATCTGGGGGAAGAAACATGGCTCATATATTTCTCTGTGCAGCTCGGAAGTGAGTCATGCTCTATATAATGGCTGTTTCAGATATGACTGAAGAGAGAACTTTTTCTGCATTCACACTTTTCTGTAGCTTACAGCACATCTCGTGCATACTTAGAAAGAAAAACTTTGATATCTGCAGACACTGCTGTCATGCAGTAGCAGTAAATTATACTATGTTGTGTTGCTAATCCATGCTTTTGTTAAATATAATTTATCCTTTATTAAATTTCAATTAAATGAACGCTTACTTTACAGGGGTTTGCTTCCTTAGAGGAGATGGATTGCCTCTTTCATATCTGTCACTTGGTGGGACAGGAGGTTTTGGCATCATTGCTAGCTGTTCCCCAAGGGATCTAAAGTAGGAGCAAGATAATGAAATAAAGGCAAAAAGTGCTTACTAAGAAATGATTGGGTAATACTGGCAACGGGAGTTTTGTTTCCAGAGGCAAATTTCTTACCTTAGCTGTGAAGTCAGAGGCTGTAAAACAAGGAATAGTTAAGACAGTGTATGAGTGTATCGGAATAGGTGGAAAACATCAATAAGCACCAAACAAAAAAAGACCTTACCTTTTCAGGAAAGCCTGGCTTCCTCCCTGAAAATAGTAAAAGTTTACATTTAGAAAAAAATGAAAATTAAACTTTCTAAAAAACAAACAAGTTTTTAATATCATTGAAAGTGAATTTTGCAGATTGAAGCTCCTGAGATGTAAGCCAGAGAAATATTCTGGCTTTGCAAGAGATGGCAAAATTACAGTATCTCTTAATAAAGGAAAATTTTTAAATTTTCAAAAGTAGCATGTTTTACAATGATACTTTCTATGGTTCAGTTTTGAATTACTGGATACTTTTATGTCATTATATAACAGATGAAAGAAAAATCATAGAGTAGACTCTTCAGATGCATTGTAAAATATGGGTTTCAGTTATGAAACAAGTGCCATTTTTTTTTCTATGTTTTTTTTCCAGTTCTCAGCATTCTTTCAAGTCTGGGTGCCAAATTACATATAGTAGCATACGTAGAGTTTTGTTAGTTTTGTATGCAAAAGTTATTTCCTCTTTTAACCTACTAAATATTTCCCTGTTCATTCACTGAAGTATTACATCAAACATTTATTGCACAAGGATCTCATAATGTCTTTCTGTTCAACTAGTCCTAAGCTAGGGCCACTACTTCCTAAATAAGATTTCTCTCACTTTATAAGTACTGCTCGCATTATTTAGTCATAAACAGTTCACCTCGTATGTGATTGAATTACAGTACTTTTGGTTGAGCCTTGTTAGTCAAACTGATAACTTTGAATAATCACAAAACCCCCACTGTTACTAATATAGGCAAATACTGACCTGATGCTGGGCTTTCTCTTTCAAATGGCGGAGCAAGGCGATCCAGTGGGGGTTTTGTACTTCTGTCTATAGAAGGAGCTGGGGCTAAACACAAAAGCTGTGTAAAATAATTTGCTGGTATAGGTCAATATATCTTTATTTTGCATAGCCATGAACTGGTGTTACTTAGTATAACAAGTGTGGCTCCTGTGTAAATAATAGAAGAAAGTGGAACTGAGGAGACACAGACAAAAGTGAAGTGCTATTTAGCCCATGGGAAAATCTCTGTCAAGAGAAAACCAGCTGTACTTACGTTTCAAAGGCTTGATATTCCTGTCTCTACTCAAGTCATTGTTGTTTGATGGTGGAGGAAAAGCTGGCAGCTAAAACAAATATTTCACATGTGGTTAAAGTGTGTCTTTCCTTTTCTGTTTTACTTTTAGTATATTAACCCCACCACACTACATCTGCCAATCTTTGTCTCTGGTGCAGCACAAGGAATAGGTCTCTGCTCAGTGCAGGAAGGACAGGAGCCATTTACACTCCTGAAGAATGACCTACATACATGGTGTTTTGTTAGAGGCAGAATTGCCTCCATCTGTTTCACCTCACAAGGAATACTCTTTCAATGCAGCAGGTGTTAGTTTTGAAAACTGGTATCAAAATTAGTGGGTGTAAATTTGAAGTTGAGAAATATGTATCAAGTCTGTGTTACTGACTGTTGTTGACTGAGGCGGGGGAGACAGGACTGTTCTTAGATATTGGAAGACCTGGGGTCAGACAGCATTGTATCGTAAGCAGCTGCATAGATGTTTGCATCTAAACCTGGATTTCTTCAGACAAATGCCTTCCAATGTTTGTTCTTATTCCAGAAAAATAGAGCAGCAATTTAGGACAGCAGTCTTGAGAACTCATGACAATTAAGAGTCCTCTGTGTTTTATATATATATATATATAATATGACACTTGGTCTGACCAAAAGTCCCTCTATCACATCCTAAAATTACCTTTACTTGTGTACTTGGGTAGGTCTAATGTATCTCTGTTCTGACATACAGTGAACCTACAGTGCTAGTTGTAAACAGCACAACTGCTTTCAGTTTTGAAGTATTCACAAAAAAAGGAAAAAAATCTGTCATGAGGGTTCTCATCATGCAGTTCCTTATACTTTTATGTGGCCTTAGTTCAATCAGACAATTGCTAGAAGTATACCTGGGAAAGCCTTAGCCTTTTTTTCTTTTTACAAAAATCACCAAAGAAACAGAGGCATCTATTACAAATCTGTAATTTATATGGGATTTATAGGGCATTCACAAGTGGGTACAAATTTCCAGTGTAAGAAATAGCCAAGTAATGGGAAATAATTTATTTGTGCCATGAAGTTTAATTGTTGAATGAAAAAATGGCCACCCTGTAACAGAGTTCAAATCTATTTTGATTACTGAAATTCCTCATCTGCATACAGTATCTTAATAAAAATGGCATTACACTTGGACTTCTAAGAAGGTACTGGTAAAGGAAGTAGTTGAAATATTAAGAAACAAACATACAGAAGCACCTCTTCCCCCAAATGAAGCTGGTACTGGGGATGAGCCAGGTCGCTGGGGCGGTACTGGAGGCTGATGTGATGATCTAGTTGTTGGAGGTCTGTCTAAAGAAAACAAAAATCCCAAACTAAACAGCTACACAGAGTTTGGTTATTTTATTCTCATTAGATCTTTACGAAAAAGAGCCCTTGCAATAACCTGCATACATAATTTATCCTAGAGACATTGTTTTAGTATATAATGGACAGTTGTTTTATGATCAGTGTTGCATTGGGAGTGACAGGCTCGTCTGTCCCTTTGGTGGTGAGGTGACTCCATCTGCTTGTCTGTTGGCCCACGCTATTTATTTTCATTCAGTGCAGTGCAGTGACCATGAAACACCAGCCAGTCTAAATGGCAGTTCTGTACTCCTGCAGGCTGCCAAAGAATCAGACAGAAAACTATGACAGGCAGAGAAAGCTGATCTCCTTCCAATTTTCCAGAGTTTTTTTGCCACTGTTGTGACAGCTTGCTCTGTTCAGGGTTGCACTACCAAAGCTAACACAGTATGCACACACGTAACTTCATGCACATTCAACCCAAAAGCCAAATAATGCACACATCATGTAAAGCTAATCGTTAATCCAACAGAGCTGGTCTGTAATAGAAAATTGAGATTTAAAAGCCACAAAGGCACCAACATGCTGTAAATCTCTCTCACTTAATCTTATTTATGAATGACACTGTTGACCTCAAAGAAAAACCTTCTATATGCCATTAGAAGCCACCTAAAATGTGGCTGATAATGTGTGAAAACGTAATTTACAAATTATTAGTAACACAGTTTTTAGTAATTACCTATATAATCTGTGTTGTTTGCAAGTGTCTTGGCAGGAAATATGACATTGTGGTGTGCTTCATCATTATTGGATGGAGGTGGCTCATAGCCATCACTGTCATGTTCTGCTTCCTCAGGTTCATCTGTTGGTGATTCATAGTCAGCCTCATCTTCCTTTTCCTGGTCATCATCAGGGCTTTCATAGTCATCATCTTCATCCTGGCAAATGTACATAAAAGATGGGTGCTGTGGCAGGATACTAAACACTGCAGTGCAATTTCCTTGTGGCCTTTCACTGTGGTATTTTTCACTTTGAAGGATATCAAGTTTTTTAAACCAGTTTGAGTGAAATTATTCTCTGTTGATGTAAAATGGGGAAAGGAAGCAGCATTTTATTAAGGCATACAGCAGTCGACAGCTTAAGAAAGGAAACAAGTATCATTTTATAAGAGTTAACTGCAGTAGAAGGTCAAGGTGATAGCTCACTGAAGTGCACAGTGCCTTTGTTTTAGGTAACAGACCAGCAAACAATTCAGTGCTTCCTAGAAACACATTGGAGCAGCAGATGATGGCTGTCCATATTTGCTCTTACTTAACAGCACGTACGCTACAGCATTCAACTCAACTATTTTAAAATGCTTCAGAAAAAATTAGGTCTTCAGTATGGATCTTGGTGCCCTCCACTGACCAGAATCAAAACAGCTTCATACAACTTGCAGGACCTGGTAAGATCACAGTATAAGTAGGGTAGCGGTCATTGCACATATTTTCTGTGCAATCTGCCAAGGCTTACAAGAAAAACTGTATTCTGTTTATCACTGGTATCTTGGCTGAAAGTTCCAGACTAGCTTCATATTGATAGAGAGCCCAGGTGCTCTATAGGTGGTGACTTTTACCTTTTGTGCTCCTAAAATAGCAGCAAACATCCTGCAAACTTAATAGCAACTGTTTTTTTAAAATTCTCTCTCCATTTTTTGCAAAAAATACATTGGTACTGGTCAGTGTAAGGGATCTTCATAAACCCAGCCTGTCCATCAGTCAGCTTATTAATTTAGGTAACTTAGTAGTGGATGCTTCATCTAATGATGTTTACCAATGCTTTTTCTGTCAAAAGGCAAGAGGAACTTTTGCAGTCTAGCTGGCTTCAAAAAATTAGATTCTTCAGCTAATCAACTCTAGAGAATACAATGGCAACAATTTGCCATTGAATAACATAGCAACCTTTCCTTTACTAGCCACCTCTGAAGAAATTCAGGTAAGGTTCTGTGGAGACCTGGTCATAGGCTGTGAGCTTCTACTTGAGCCAGCGGTATAGGACTGCTGTGCTGCAGCTCTGCATTGCCTTACTGGGGGAGACCCTTTCCTCAGGGAAGAAATCTGCATGCAGCTACTGCAGTCATTCATGCTCCTGCTTCTCAGTGCAACACCCCCTGGCATTGCTCACTCCATCCATGCTGCCCAAAGCAGATAATGCAAGAAACTTGCAGAAGAGGGACTCCATTCAACCAGGTTATCTTAATCCTGATACTCACAAATGAAGACCAGCCACCATCTTCTTGACTGTATCCTGCATGAAGAAGCATAACCACAGGCTTCTTAGCATGTACAACTTTTAAACTATCAAGACATAACTTGATCAAAAGGACAGAACAAATCTCAGATCAGTTCTGAACCACAATACTATGTCACAGAAACAAGGTAGGTCTCTCAAAGGCAGGCAGGCAGTCATGAAAGGTACTACTAGTAACATTCTGATTGAAAACTAAGGGTATAGCTATCTTTGTATGAGATGATATATGTGCTGTCACTTCAAGCTTGTCCTACACCTTTAAATATAACTTGAAGTAGAATGCTTTGAGAATGAGCACAGACTTCTTAGCTCTTCATTTAATATTATTCAATCTTTCATATACAAAGGTTTTTTTTAATTTCAGTACGACTCAGGGAACATGGTAGCTTGCAGAAATTTTAAGTGTTCATGGCCTATTATGAAAATAATTGAAATAAAAATTCAGAGCACAGCAGTCATCTAGAAGCTTACCTCTCTAACACGGGGTGCTGCTAGCAGTAGGGGCGGAGGGTACAGGTGTTGGAACAGAAATACATAAGCACTGATACTATATATTGGGTTAAAGAAAGGCAGTTTGGGAATTCTCATGTAAATGTCTCTGCTCTTGTCTTTCTTCACCATCTTTTCTATTTTAAAAATATTTTTTCTTACTTGTTCTCCTGTAACTACTCCTCATTCTTTTTGTAACTTCTTCGTGCTCTTATCTTTTCCTGTTTGTTGTTTCGGGTTCTTCTCCCCCCACCCCCTATTTACTCTGCCCTGCAAGGATTAACTTAATATTTTGATAGTTTAAACACTTTTTTTGTTAGAGACTATCTGTCAGTAGACACTTACCTGGATTTTCAGGACATTTTTGTGTTTGGGCCCTACAACAAAGATACAAAAAAAAAGAAATTCCTTACATTTGCAATTCTTAAATGTTTGAAGCATATTAAAATATATTTTGAATAAAGGTAATAGTTAGCTTTAACGGTAGAACAAAGTTTATATAGATGAGTTTAATTCTATCCAAAATGCCAAAAACACACTACTTCATATTTTATATACAAGATCCTAATGTAAGCTAAACTGTCTTGAAAAATAACCAAGTCAGTGAGGTCAAATGTTTAGAAACAAAGGGACTCAGTAAATAAATTTATCAGGGGCCCCAGTCCTGAAAATAGAAACTTTCTTTACTAATTCCATTCGAGCTGCTGAAAGTCAAGTTCATAAATATTTATAGGGTTGATAAATACTTTTATGGTTTTCAATTCTAGTTTTGAACTCTATTTAATGCAAAGGTGTAAAATTATGTTATCAGATGATGTAAAACCATGTTATGTAGACTAAACTTAGATTTTCATTGTATAGGAAAATAAATTATTATTTTGTCATTAAATGTTCTTGCAATTTTTGCTCTTTTCCTATTGCAAGAATATTATATTCAATGATAAATCATGAAGTATTAAAAAGTGTAATGACATATAGGTCTATGAAATGCATTAATAATGATTTATTAATGCAGTAATATGTGCCTAGGGTTTATAACATTCCTAAAGGTTAATTTATTCAGGTGGAAAATTGTATGATATTTAAATGTTACTTGGTTCCGAACATGGCAGAAGTATCTAGGGTGTTCATGGGCTTAGGCTCTGCTATTCTTAATAGTTATTATTCTATTTGAATATATATTTCCATATATTCTATGATATATTATTCTTAATAATTAACAAAACAGAGGTTAATTTTATATAATTTCCAGGATGTCCTTCTGACCCATGTATTACTGATCAAATGGAAAACACTCCAGAGAAGATATATCTGAAAGCTTTGAAAAAGAAAGCTGAATCCTTTTACTTACCATTTTGGAAAGAAAGATAGCCTCCCTTCATTTCTGTTTATTTCTTGACTTAATTTACTTACAATTCTATTTGAAAGAAACACAAAAATAGTTTAAAAAAACCTTGAAAGTCATCAGTCATTTTCTTAGATGCTTTCCCTCTGTATTTACTAAATGAAATCTGGTCATTCAGAATTATTCTTTACTATGTGGTAAGAATATTGAATTTATCATCTTACTGCAAATTTATACTATAGAGTATCCAATTGAAAACTAGACTTTTTTTACATAGATGAAAACCCATATTGTTGAATCAAGTTTAAAAATAAACATTAAACCCGGCAAGCCTTAGAAACTTTGGGTGTGGTAGATTTCACGCACTAGAACACTGCTTTAAATAATGGTGATTGCATTTGTACTATTTTGCACGGAAAAAGCAGATAATGACTCAGGAAACAGTTTCTACCAAGCTTATGGTTCCAAAAGCAGGGATTAAATGGACCCTTTGTGTACTCTCTATTCTTTTTGTCTCCCTCCCTCTATAACCAAGATATACCCAACTGAGAATCCCTCCGATAAAGAAGGTGAAAATGTTGGTTTAGTTCCATGTTAGAACACATTGGCAGGGCAGGGCAGAAGTATACATGGAACATACAAAGACTATAGCTTTATGTCTAGAGAGTTTTCCAAGTGGATGTGTTTGCCATCACTCCAGCACTGTTTGTGTAGAGCAGTAGGGTGAATAACAATCAGTGAAATGCAGTCTTGAGTGAAATTTCAGTCAGGGGCATGCATTTATGCTGCTAATATCGCTGGCATCCACAGCTGGCACAGACATCTGGGACTGAGAGTTTTTGTAGTGACTGAGTCCCTGAGAACAACTCTGAGGTTACAGGACAGTCAATACTGAGATTAGCAGCACTAAGTCCATTGAGAGCAACCAAATTCTGTTCTGCTTTATTTAGAATATGATTATTTTGTTTCAAAGGAAGTTTTTGTTTCAAAGTAAGCTTTTGATTAGTCATGGTCTGATTCCTAATTCTCAGTATTTCTGAGGAAAGTCCCACTGAGAAAGTCCTGTGACAACCAAAGCAAATTGGTTACATACATCTGGTTAAAAATACCCCATTTTACTTGCAGCTTATATTATTTAGGTCTATCAGAGACAGTAATTGTGGAAATAAAAGCAGTGTGAAAAAAAATAGGAACTCAACATGTCTGTTTATCTCAGATTCTAAATTCTATAAAAGCTTGTTTGTTAGTGCAGAATTCTTTTCCATGCATCTTCAATTTGGTCAGTCAAACTTTATATCGATCTTGTAAAATCTTTTCTAATGGCCAAGCAGTTACCACTCCATTTTGCTTTTCTTCTTCTTTCATGTCTTTTTCCACTACTCAGCAATAATAATCCCCTAGGTTTTTTCCAAATGACCTCATTTGTGCATCTCTTTCATGTCTAACTGCTTTTCCGGGCTGGGACTTGAGGAAAACAAGCTTTCAAGCAATCTAAGATTTAAAAAAACAGCCAACAAAAATGTGGGGGTTTTTTTTTGATCCTGTACCATGCAAAAAACCTTTCCCTTATTTTGAATATCTGAATATCCCTTCTCTCGCCCTTGTTACTTTCCTAATGCTTACTTTATTGTAATTCAAATTAAAAGATAAATTCAAGGCATAGGGTTACTTTGTCTGATAATGGAAAGTGCTATGGGCACAGATCAGGCTGCCAGCAAGTATCAGAGAACAAGCAATTTCAGCTCAGTAGGGTCATGCTGTCTGAAAAGGATGAAGATGGGTAGTTTGATGTTAAGGATATGTACTTAAGGACCCAAATATGAAAATAGAAAGGCAGAGGAAGAATATTTCGGGGGTTTTCTTTTTTAAGACGGTACTTCGCAATTTTCTGATTTGAAGTAAATATTGTTATGCTTGTCCCTTTTGAAATAAGCACATGCACAAATGTTAATTTAAGAAGGATTACAGCTGTCTAAATCTGACATCATTACCCAAGAAAATTGTATAAAGCAAGAAAAATGCCGAGTTATAGGCACAGGACTCCTCTTGCTCTTTTTCTTTCCCATGCAATGAACGTTCCTCTGCACAAGAAATTTCCTTCTGCTGCAGGTGATAAGGAAGTTGCTGTATGAGTAATAAATTCCACGTGAAACTTCAGGAAATGTCCTGGGGTGAACAGTGTACTGCGTGCACCAGTGCTTTGGGTGAGAATTGGATTATGGATCTTGTGTGTGACTTATTCTCTCTTGTAGAAGAGGTAGAGGAAGAATCTTTTTTAATATTGTGTTTATTTTCATCTAAAGAAATGAAATTAAATCACTGGGTTTAGAGCTAATAATTCTTTTGGTTCAGACCTCCTTGGGTGTGAATGAGACCTGAGTGTTTGGAACCTTTCTGGACTAAACCTGGGCTGGCTGCTATGAGGATTTGTATCAACTGGCTTTTAAGGAAACACTGAAAGGAAAAAAATGCTCATCTTATCTTGCTGCAAAAATTTAATCATTTGATGCTTAAAATACAGTGTTTAATCTTTACTTCAACTTTATTTGAAATGTTCAGACCAATGGCTCAGAGAGGTTATTAGACGAAAGCAAGGTTTAGAATGTAATACTTTACAAGCAACATTATTACAGAAGATGGGTGTGCTGAGCAGCTGAGTCTGTAGCCATGTGAGGAAGGAAGTACCAAAACCACACTGCTTTCTGAGTTGTGGGAGTGGGTGATAGGAGAGGATAAGGCAACAGCACTTGCAGAAAATGTTACTCAGACTTCTCTTTCTCTTTCTACCTCCTCCACCAGATGCTTAGCTTAAAACTGGCAGGAAGTTGAAAATAAGAATTAAAAAACAACAAAAAAAACAAAAAAAAAACAAAAAAAAAAAAAAAAAAACCAAAACCAAACCACACAACCAACCCCCAAAAGTAGTACTCCAAAACTGGCTTTTGTTTCCTTAACTGCAAATATTGTTGTCATGAGTAGAATCCATTCTACCTGTATTGGGATAAAGGACTTAAGGTGGGTGAGAGAGATGGAAAGCAAAGTCCTCTAGGATCAGTAAGTTGCACAGTTGCATACTGAACACTGTGAAGGGCATAGCTTGTGATGAAGTCTTTGTTCTGGCCTTTGAGAAAAGTGTGTTGGGCAGATGTAGTACTATTATGTTGGCTTCAGAACTGACTGAATATCAGTTATGTTCTAAACCTTTCAACAACCTTCAGCATCTCATCTGAGATAGCATGTGTGCACACACATTCATCTCTGCCCAAGCTATATCTTTTTAAAAGAGAAGGGCACCATATAATTTCTTAATTTTTAGATTTGCACGTTGACTCTCCTGAAAGTAGAAGGACTTTCAGAGTGTGCCATGTTTGCAGGCTCTGAATGTGTCCCATTCAGAACTCAGCGTGCTTACCATGTTTGAACTGGAAGATACAATTATTTACTTTAATGCAACGATGCTCTTTTTATTGCTGGAAATTTTCACAAATGCTATGGAATATGCCATCAACTTTCTGACCAAGGTTGAAAATTTCAAATCTCAGCTTTGCCAGCAGTCTGTCACTGAGGACAGCCAGAGATCTACAGCCTGTATTAGTACCTTAACTTATGGAAGACTTGGAAATGTTTTCTCTCAGGATAATAAACAATAAGCATGGCAAAGACTAACTTCAGTGTTTAGATCATAGGTCAGGTATTGACCAACCACCAACATTATTTTGAATTAAATCTTTGCTTTTTCTTGTTTATTAATTCTGACCACAGTAAGGAACATTGTGTAGAATCTGTTTTAAAATATTTTGCAAGACTCACATTTGTTATCCACAAATATAAACCTTTATGACCTTCTGTGACTGCCAGTAGTGATGATGAGCAACAAGAAAACTCCATGTGTCCCTTAAGCTATATCTTGGCCTTTTGTTTCATTAGATTTATTAAAATGTTAATTACAGCATCATGATTAGGTCTGAGTTTCATTTAGCACTTAAGACAGATATTCAGTGTCTGCTCTGTGTAAAATGTACCATATCCCTTCCATGCTCCACCAATGTACCACTTATTCTTTCAGGATGCAGTGTGTTATTTGTGAAGCTTTGGGTGTGTATGTTAATCTAGTGCTATTAATGTTAACTTAAATGGTTGTCTCATAAGATATAGCAAATACAAGAGTAATAGGAATGAGCACAACAAAAAATGTAAGTTTTTAACAGATTTTCATATTGTTCCAAAAATGCCAAGCGTTAAGCATAGTGTATGTTTGAAGAAAATGGGTTGCAACTGTGCAAAGTTATTAATAACTGACAAATTGTTAGGTCAACTGTGATGTTACCTCTTACTTAGGATAACAGGTACATTCATGATAGGCCAATCTCTAAAGCTGATGGTCATGCCACAATTTTTTATTTTAATTTTTCATTGGGAAAAGGGAGAAAATGTATGCGTTAGGTGTTCCTACCAGTGGATTACTTGGTCCAAATATTGCTGCTCCGTAAAGGATCATGGCAACATGCTAATTTGGGGATAATGGCTGAATACCTCCTGGGTCACAGATTTCCACCAAATCTGTGAACAAGTGAGGTAGGGAAAACCCTTTGTGGTCTGAAGACTGGGTTCCACCACATGTAGTCATGCAGTATCAGGTATTTCAAAGATCGTTCAGTGCCATAACAGATCTGCGTAGGTCACTGGAACAGATAGGCATATATCTCTTCATAGAATGGTAACTATGCTTAAATTCTTCAGATATGGTTAGTATTCTTAAAAGTAAATTTTTACCAACTGATTTAAACCTGATACTCTGTATCTTCAAATAGAAATACATATATTCAAGTAGAAATACTATGTGGTGGCATTTTCTGGTTAGCTTGAAGAAGTGCCTGAAGCTCAGCATGTGTCCAAGTACTGCCTTTTGAACAGGAGCCTTAAACCAGCCCAAGAATCTCTCTTTACTCCCTCTTCCTATGTCCACCTAAAGCAGTTCAACTACAACACAGAACTGGCAAAGCCCAAGTGGCTTTTGCCGCCTCCCACTTGTTTAAAGGAAAGGGTGAAAGTGAAGCAATGAGTGGAGTTGCACTCTGCCTTTTGCTTTGGGACCTTGTGCCTGAACTAGACCTTTGATTCTACTGTGCACCTAAGTGAGAATGAAAGAAATGCTTCTATGTTAAATCAAAATATAGCATTAATCAGTGTTAATTTTCTAAACTTCTCCTTAAGATTGCTTTAATAGCAACATAAGTACAAGAGGTCTCAGGGTTCCAGAGAGCAACAGCATCATAAATGTAAATATACTGAATGAGAGTGAAAACTTCATATTTGTGAGAGAAGCCCCAGATGGAATAATAGTTTCAAATTTGAGGGTTTATTTAAAGGTCTAGATAATGCAAAGAAAGAAGGGCATGTGGCTTTCCAATCATCTCATGCTCTGGCACAGCTTTATGCATAATTCAAAAATGAGGACAATTTTTGATTTTGATCCTCTCACATACTCCATGACAAAGTCAGTCTTCAGTCTTCCTTTTCCATCTTCCACAAGATAAAATGCTCTAATGGACACGTGGGCTACATTTCCTTAACCATGCCGGTAAAAACCACCTTGTGTACAAGACCCCTGTGTCTCTTGCAGGCATACAGGAAAGTCAGGTGGTGACTGCAAACAAGAATGGGAATCGCTGCTGAGGTGAATGGACTGTGGAGCTTGTTAGGGTCCCTCAAAAAATCTGTGTGTGGACTGTGCAGCTGCAGGGGCAGGGAGTCCTATGCAGACTTATTGTCCATTAATAAATTGTCCATAATAACTTACTGCCCATTGCCAGAATAAAAGTTGCAGGACTGTCTGGATGCATCAGCCACTTTTATATGGTGCCCTTATATACGTAAATTTTTTAGAAAAATTTTCAGTAAAGAGAAATAGAGAGTTTTAAAGATTTTATGAAGTATTTTAATGTTAAAAATAGTGTTTAAATCATTTTTTTGCTATTTAAAATTAAGCCAAAAGAAGATTCATTAAGATGTGCACCTATAATATGCCTGGTGGAGATTAACTTTCAAAATAGTAATTCTGTTAATAATAACAGAAAATTGTGGTGATTTTTTATTTGTTTCAGGAAATGGCCTATCATACTTTGTAATGACATCTGTTGCCTACCTAGGCACTTCAGGATTCGTGTAAGCATCACAGAATGATCCCCAAGTAATGACACAGTTATATTCAAAATCTGATCAGTAGGTTTGCTCAAATGTCTGTATTTAGTAAAACCACATCCCCAGCTCAGGAGGTCTGTATGGATGCAGGCTGCGGTTTGCAGACCTTGTATATGTGCAAGTGCTGGGTTCTGTTCTCAGTACATGTAGGTCAGCATAACCCTGCTCAAGTTACTGGGGAACAATCTCTCTTGTATATGTGCTTTTTATTCATCCCACTGGCCAATACTGTAAGTGTGACACTTGCTAGTTATATTAAGCATTTTTACAGAACGTGCTCAGATTTTAGCACTGTTGTTAAGAATCAGGTACTACAACTACAATATGCTAATGTGTATTTCAGCTTGTAGAAAAACTTTTCCTACTAGGTGAGGCCTGCATTATGGTATGAAAGTAAGGTGTGAATATGTTTTAGTAGAAGTCAACAGCAAGCACTTTGCATTTTGGTGAGAGTGTGGAGATTTTGAAGTAATGAAATTAATGTTAAAAAAATTACAGGTTCTTCTATTCATTAATTTTATATTGTTGGATTTGGTTTTGTGTTTTTTTTTTTTTTTTTTTTTTTCTAATGGCAACCCGTTCGCTTTCCTATTAAAGCTCTAAATTCTTGTTTTAAGCAGTGTCATTACATGGTGGACCCCACACCAAACTTTTTCCATATATATTCACAATATTCTAGTGAGTTATTTCCCTGTTGATAAGTGTGGAGAAAGCTAAGAACAAAGGCATTAGTTCCAGAACTTTCATTTGGATTTATTAATTTACTTATTTACTCAGTTCACCCTTTACTCAGTTCACACCAAGCTTCACCCTTCTTTTAAAGCTCTTGATTTCAAGTTCTCTTCTTGTTGAGAAACACAAAAGATCTGATTAGAAAAGGCTGTTCATGTTCTGCTAGGGTGTTACAAGGTAAACAAACTGTGAAAATCGAACTTTAAAAACATTTTTATGATATCAGTAGATCAGACGAGGAGATAGAAGCAACTCCACATTGTGAGATTTCATTCTAACTATTCATCTATGACATTAATATCTCTTGTATGTGTATTTTTATTAGACCTTCCACTGACCACTTTTGACTCGCAAATTTGAAAGGTCATCACCAAAAGTTCTCAAAATTGGAAGTTCGAACAAGGACAACATGAGGTAATTTTGTCAAAAGGCTGTTAAGGAGGGACAAACTATCAGGGAATTATAAGTAATGTGTTTTACAGCATGGTAAGATGAGTTTTTCATCACAGACGATCTGGTGTAACTCTGGTCCCTCAGTCTCAGCAACCATAGTTAAATGTAGGTAAATGTTGCTTTTAATTGGCAGTAAGTTAAAATATATTGAGACATTGGGGCATCTTTTTTTTTTTTATATCATCTGGGCCCCCTTACGAGCACATCATATACTGCCAATCCCTATTACCGGGAAATTTATTGTGTGAAAGTATAGATATGAACTTAAGAAACATGTCATGTCCAAGGCTTTCAAGTTCAGGTCCTCACATGTCCGATCCAAACAGAAGTATCTTCCTGCCCTCAGATCCAGTCACCATCTCACCCATAAGTGTATGAAATACAGACCACACAGGTATTTCAAAACTTTTCAGTACTGTTAGCTTCACCAAAACATCTTACACAAGCTCTGATGCATCAGAAAAGGCGAAGGAGACTGTATGACCCATAGCAAAATCAAGATATGTAGAGAAGGAGTCTGGAACTGGGAAATGATCAACAAAGTAACAGCCATGTTGGAACAATCTAATTCCTTTTTTTTCCATGCGTCTCAGTTAACTTCCAGTTAACCTTCTAACTTCCAGTTTAAATATGTACCACAGAATTCATAGCACAGTAAAATCCTTCATTTTTCATCATGAAATAGAAGAAGCAGCTAATTTCTCTGTTACTCAGTACTGACTTAATGAGATTATTGTTCTTCGTTTAGTGACTTTTATGAAATCTATTCAGACAAATTTGAAACTTTTTCAAGGCCTAATCCGCAGGAGCTGAGGAAAGCTATTTAACATTGAATCAAATGTTCCAGACTGATTTAACTTTAACACCTACCTAAAGGAAAAGTACATGATGAAAATCAGCTGAACTCCTCAACTGTTGTGTACATCTGCCTTTTTTTTTTTTTTACGTTAGGTTAAAGTCAGCAGTTAAGAAGTGAACAGTTAAATCATACTCCGAAGGTAGTTGCAAAAACTTGCAACTTGCAAGTTAAATTTGCAAAAACGTTTAACTGTGTGTAGCTGCTGACATTCATAGAATTTATGGATGAGTTCTTCTGAACATCCCCCAGACAATTTTGTTGTATTGTATCACTGGTTTTGAGCAGTCATGACAACACTCCTTTTATTGTGAAACTCTCCTTTTTCTCTCAGTACACTGTAAATAACAGGTCTCTAACTAATCATTTGCAAATCATTTGCCTGACATTTCCTATGAGCTTTCACTGCAAACCAGCTGAAATAGTTTTTAATATGAAATTGGTTTGGCTCTACTTACGGTACTCTGAGTTTGGGAAATTTCTGAATATCATTTTCAGACATGTTCTGAAAAGAAAACATATAGTATATATGACAAAATTGTCCATAGAACACGCTGTGACTTACAGAAGTTTGCAGACTCAAATGTGTGGCATGAAGTTTCAACTGATAGGAATATAAAGTGCATAGAAAAGCAATGCAAGACAACAGCCTGCCCATCCCATGACTCATACGAGAAGTGAACCCATTTTCATTAAAAATCCTCTCTATTTTTTCTGTTTTTCTGGATGTTGGGTTTTAATTTATGTTGCTTCCAGCTGTATTAAACTAGTTAGGAGGTTAATAAACATCATGTGTATTTGTTTACACACAAAGGACTTCAACAAAATAATCACATCTAACTTCAAAGAGAAGTATTTCAATAGCTAGAATGTTTTAATGGTAGTTTGTTAAAAAGATCTGTAAGGAGATGTAAAATCTTAAACCAGCTCTTACCAGATGAGAGTTGGGTAAGTTTGTTTACCAGCAGATGAGCCATTATTCCAGGATTATTTTCAAATTAATGGAACTCTGTGTAAAGTTAAAATAATTTGCTTTTCTGATTTGGATTCTAATCCAGTTCTTTACTGATGATATATTGTCACATTGACTTACAGGCAAGGTTAAAATCCATCCCTGCTCTCCTTCTCAAAAGAACTTGAAATAAAACCCTGTTCTGCAACAGCTTCCTCCCTAGAGATTGTCAAAGATTCTTAAGCTAAAGCAGGTGAACAGACAGTAAACCAAAAAATTCCAGAACTATTTTTAAGTCATCTTCTTTTTTTTTTTTTTTAATCTTTTTGTTCTCTTGCTTTCTGGATATTGCTTTTCATTGTACATTGGCATCACCTAGCATACAGGGAAACATATCCTTTATGTATTTATTGTTAAATAAGTCTTGAGATACTCTAAGTTGTCTCAGTGGACCACGTCAAACAATTAAGAGACATCTTGTGCTACTGATTATGGGTGTGAGCTCAACAGAACATGCATGATCTGCTTGAAATCATCATCAATGCCATTCTTTCCAGCAATTTTGGGATTAGGCTTCTCACAGTAAATATAAAAGGACAGAATATTTCAAATGCTTTTTTAAACACTTGTAGTTTTAAGGTAATGTGCAATGAAATGCCCTTTGTACAGGGCTGTTCCTGGTATGGAAGGCAAACTTCTACCAGAGATTCTGACTTTATGCTATTTTGCTTCACATCTTTTTAGTAAGCTAAAAAATATGGTATGTAAGTGGCTTCAGAAGCTAGATATATTGAATTCGTTCATGTCTGCGTAGTGAAATCAGGCAAAGTCGTGCATGATTGCAAAGTTTCAAGGTAAAACTGTAAAGTTTAAAATAGAGCACCATTTGCTGGAGTTTTATGCTAAGAACCTTATCTAGCACATCACAGTATATGTAAAATCACATGTTCTAGTGGAGATGTAGCTGGAAAACTCCTTGGACTTAAGAGCAGCCTTGGAAGCCTAACAAAAATCTTTTGAGGCTGGAGAGTGTTTCTTCCTCCTTCAACCATAATATAGCAATTAGATTGCAGATTACTCCTGACCTGATCTTACACATGTTGTCTTGAGAGCTTTACTGATGCTCCTGCAGAGAGAGTCAGCCTCTCTCTTCCATCATTTGCAACTCCAAGTTCAGGTCAGAATTTAGTGCATTATGAAAACTCTTGAGAAAGTGTTTTGTTTAGTTAATCATAAGCTTCGCAAACTCTCTTTGGGACATGGATGATAGTCTGGTTCTTTCTGTCTTTCTTACTGCCAACAAAAAGAAGTTTCTAATTACACACTGGTTCACAATGCTATCAATGATTTTCAGGACAGAACAAATCCTGTCTGTGTTTTCCAGCACTATGTTTCCTCTGGGAGTAATGACAGGAGTAAAACACAGGAAAAATGTATTCCCTTTATGGAAACGTCCTGCAGGATTTACTGAAGAATCATAATTCTTTCTAAAGAATTTTTAAGCTTCTCTCTGGAATTCTATTCTGGTGATAAACCTGACAAATATTATGGGTTTAAACTCTCATAAAGGGGCCCATGTTGCTGTTTTAAATATTAGAGAATTTTATTAGAATAAGTTACATGGAATCCCTCTGGTTTTATTCCTACTACATCTCGACTGGACTTTCCTTGTGGTACCCAGTCACAGAAATGTGACTTTGAAACTAGGATGTTATTCTGATAAATGAGAGAGCAATATTTATAGTCAGGTTTACCATAAAGATCTGACAACAGATACAAAACCTGCAAACACTCAGTCTTAACAGTTTCTTCTGTGTGAATGTAATTTGGCAGTTTCCAATAACTTACAGCATGTAAAAGATATTTCTTAAAAAAAAAAATTCATACAGAGAAGCAATTTTTTTTTTCAAGATTGCATTGTACTCTAGAATATTCCACTTACAGTCTCCTTTTGTTGTTCTGCTTAACAGGTGAACCTTTTTTGCATCATACAATTCGCCAGTGGGTCAAAAGTTGCACTCCGAGCTATGTATTTACAGAAACACTCCAGAAGTAATAAAAAAATTACAAAAAATCACTTAGGGATCATACAGTTACTGCTCTTGTTATTTGTACCTCACAAACTTCCAGAATTTCATAATGCTTCCAGAGCCAGAACTCCCACTCCAGCCACAGATCCTTTGTGCTTAAGCTAAGGAGAACGTCTTAAGGGTTAGTAGGATAAATCCTGTGACACACATCTGAGTAATTCTGAGTCCACCCAGTAGGAGTCAGGTGTAATATCCTGTTCTTACAAAAGGTGTTTGAAAATTTTTATGTTACATTTCAATGAAATGTCAAAAAGCTTGATACATTAGGACAAGTAAATAGAAAATAAGAAGGCTTTAGAAGAGGTATGCATAGATTACCCCACTATGACTAATTATACAAATGATCAAAATGACTGCTTTTGGCAAAAATAGAATAGTTTATGTTTGGAAATAAAATAAAATAGAAGTAAAATGAAGTAATAATAAAAGCCCTTACACATCTTCCTGTCTATGTATTTAAGACCTGATAATAGAACCTATGTTGATGGAAGTTGTCAGCTTTTCTAAAGTTAGGACAAGTTGCTGGTAAAGCCTGGAGCAATGTTGATTTAAACCCACTGGGTCTTTGCTTATGAGTTTTGGCGCTCTTAAAGTTCATTGATTTTGTGTATTGCTGCAGAAGAAATCTAATTTTAACTATAGACTCATGAAACGGTGATTACAACAGAAGGCCAGTCATTCTGACCAGGTCTGTGTCTTCTTTAGTAGGAGAGGACAATTAATAAATGTGAGTTTTCTGTAGTTAGTATTCGAAAGCAAGCACTTCCAATAAAGGAAGAGATGAACTTGAGACAAGACTGTGGTTTGATAACTTCCCTGTCAGTTTAAAAAATACTAAAATATATGCATATTAAGCAACATGCATGGGTTCTCAGCATTCCATATTTAAAGCAAGATGACTGGCTGATTTTAGAAGAGGCGTTTACTTCTCATATTTATATCTCAGCAACCATCTGTGAGCTAAGTACTTTGCATCTGCCAATGCAAAGTAAGGAGGAGTCAAAACCATCACTTGACTGGAATCTTACAGGAAGGAATTTTACAACTCTACTTACCAAAAATCTTTGTCCATTTATGCTGTGCTTTCTCACAACTTTCTCACAGTCCTTATACTTTAACTGTCAATGAAAAGAAGAAGATTATTGCACCCTTAATTATGAGAATGGATTAAGGCACTTATACATACGGCTAGCTTTGAGTAGATGCTTTAAGTTACCCTTTTATGTGCTAGAGCCTGTATGAATGTAAACGTGGATTTTTAAAACAAAGATTTTTCAGTGGACTTGAGCATTTTCATCCATATAGGAACATGTAATTCCTCACATTTAACAAACACCTCACAGTTGCCTGGCCCAAAGAAATATTTGGAAAATGGATAGTTGTAATACTGACTGGGATGAACAATTGCAGAAAACAGGAAGTATGGCAAAAGCCTGTTTATCTGGGAATACTGAAACCCTGATCTCAGTCGCTGGATTCATTTTTGTGACCCAAAAACTTCCTCTTCTGGATTGAAATGCTGCCTGCAAATTCTCTGTAAAATTTTTGAAATCTTTTCCACAATATTATATTTTACAGTAGCATCTAGGACAATGACATGCATTTTAGAAGTTGATCATATACATAAGAAGAGAAAGCTCCTGGTCCTACCAGGCAAAAATTTAACAGTAATTTGGGGGACTTAGAAGAAGCAGCAAACCAAAAAGCTAGACATGTTTAACAAGATATGACTCTTAAATATTTCCAGTGGGTGTCTTAAATTGTTCCTTTATTTATTTGAACAGTTATGTGAGAACACAGCTTATATTTAGATCTGTCTAGAATGCATTTGTTCAAGTCCATACCAGATGGTACCCAAAGAGCAGGCAGACAAAGTGACTTTTTGGAGCCTTCAAGACAGAAGAATGACTCTGTGCTGCTGGGAGAATTCCCCTAAAGCAGAGAACATCTTATAGGGAGCATTATGTCCTTTCTTAGTTCTATCCTGTTTATTCATTTTAAGAATTGATCTTGTAACTTGGTGCTATATGAGGACAGATCCTGAAAACATCTGAACAGATGAGACAGTATTTCTAGGAGCCACCTTCAGTTATTCATATGCAGAAACAGACCTAACTCTGCTAAATATTTTAGGATACAGGTTAAGACTTTCGTGCAGACTGAGGATTTAAGCCTGTAAATAAAGTCTCGTTCATATAGTGAGTGTTCTCATGACATTACCAGCACGAGTCTGTATGCAGCAGTGAGCAACTGCTGTACTTGGTAGAACACATTGTGACTGAGACCTAACCTCATTCTTAAAGTAATTGATGGAAAATACTGCTTAGTGATTAAAAATAATCCTCGGGATATTACAAAGATGAATATCTTTACTTTTTCTAAAAAAAAAATGTTAAGTCTTTAGAAATTATTGGAAGGTTTTATTCTTTATTGGTCCTTCCCTATCTTGAATGCATGGTTTAAATTAACATAGGCTTTAATGATAAATTAGATGTTATTACTGTTAAGTATGAAAAATTCGTATTTGACAGAAACTGAGGACTTTCTTCATTACAGTAATACATCACAGTATTGGTACATAAACTACTGATGTGTATATGGGCTGAATTTTGCTAATATGAAGGTGTAAGCTAACAGTGAATTGGTGAAAATCTTACCACTGCCCTATGTCATGACCAATCACTTCAGGTGAAAGAAGATTTGAATGTGATTGTCCTTTGAAAATCATCCCACAATTATCTCAGTTTGGAAGGAAAAAAAAATGCTTATCCCTCTTGGACTTGAATCCTGAAATTTGAACATATGTCTGCACGCAAAATACATTAGTCAGATGCAAATAAAGCATTCCTAATGTATAACATTCAACCCTTTAATAATACGTGTGAGGGAAATTATCTGGGTTTATCTAGGGAGAAGATCTCGTCATTTATGGCAGTTGCCCAGAGCTGGGTGACTTAGGCTGACATTGTCTTACACAGACTTCTTAGATGACTTTAAGTAGATTCTGCCCTGATTCACCTCTACGAAAGTGAAATGCCAAAGTTATCTTTATCCTGGGGGGTATCGGGATCAGTAGAGGGGAGGTTCTCAAAAATTAATGTAACCGTGCCCATTCAGTTATGATAGAATTTACAGAAATTTCTTTTATCACTGTTAAGAATGTCATTACCAACCCTTTCCGGAAGCCATTTGCCTTAGTCTCTTGGAAATGGTGATCCAAACCACCATGCACCAGTGTTGTAATTTTTTTGTATTTCTCTGAAGTTGCCTGTTGATAAGGATCTCATCGGTTCCATCTCAAATTCTTCATTTCACTTTCCTGTTCCACTAATCCCTGTACCCTAAAATTGGATGTTTGCAAGTAGTTGGCAGTTTCACTTCTCTGGAGATTTGGTAGACACAGACTTTGTGCTTGATCTGCTTGTCTTTAATAGCTAGTTTTGCAATGTAGTCTCAAACTTGCCTCAGATCCCCAACTGAAGCTCTCGCAGAGTGAGTTATAGGAGCCATTGAAACAATAGATTTTGCATTATTTCAAAATGAAGCCCAAACTGTTTCAGGTTTTATGAGTCTAGTCTGACAGCCCCCTTGAAAATGAACTAGCTATGCTGTCATTCCTTGAAAATCTTCCCAAATCATCTGACTGATCTGAATGTTAAATTCCAGGCTGACAGTTTTGGGCTTTGAGGGGAACATACTCAGTTGCAAGGGAGATGGAGCAGGCGGTATTTCTGATGCAAATTGAAAAATGAGCAATTTGCAGAGAACATACAGAAATGAAATTTTGGTAAAATTGGCTCAGTTACATATTCCTGGGCAATTGCAAAGGTGTCAGCATTGCTGTGCAGAGGATATATATTGGCAGTGAATTCCTGTATTGACTTTCAAACTATTCCTTCAGTGGAGAAACTCCTCTGCAGTGTAAAATGAAATTTATAGATCGTCACAAGTGGAAAAGATGTCAAAAGAATCAGAAGTTCCTAGCTAATGTCTATCATCCTATGTAATGTCAGAAAAAGTAACAGTGACAGGAAAGAAGGGGTAGCTGGTAATCTTGAGCTGTGAGTTTTGCCCAAGAAGTTTTAGAATAGGAAAGTCAAACCAAAAGGTGAAAGGTTTTTCCAACCGAGCCTAAAACATTTATGAGTCCATGTATCCACTACTGTTAAGCTCCTGGCTGGGTTCCCATGGATGTGATTAGCAAAGCCACTCAGGGGCTCATTTGTGACCACTGAGCAATTTGAAAAAAAATCTCTATTCTGGAAATCATTGGAGACCTAGAAAACTTGTAAACTTTACACATTAATGCCTTCTACAGCTGTTAATGTATGTCATATCAAGAATTGTTATAGTAAAGTGTGTATTTTCTCTGAAAAGTTATGAGCTTATCTTATACCCAATTTAAAACACACTTTCAAGATTCATTTATAGATTTCACTGGCCAGTTTAGCTCCACTCTTTAATTGTCCGTGGTTTTGCTTTTAGTTTGGCAGCAAGCTTTACCCATTATAAAAATCTGTACATTTAGCACAATGTTACAGTAGTTTGCTCCTCTGTCATGCAAAGACAAAACACAGTCAAACTTACCATCCTAAAATATTCTGCTAAGTCATCTGGGTTCCATGTAACCACGTCTGAACGATAGGGAACGTTTCGCAAATCCATTGTAAGTTTTCTCCTCTAGGCAGTTAGAGAGCGTTCATAGCAGTACCATCGATGAAGCAGCCATATATTCCCTGTGTGTGACCACCTCCAGTGTGTCCAGTAATTCCTTGCCTAATACCCAGCTGCTTCAGTTTCAGACCTGGTTGTTTTTCATTTAGAACTACGTTGTTAGGACATCCAGGAGAGATACTGCTTCCTCTAATACAAAATGGTTTCTTCTCAGAAAAGTTGTCAGCTAGTCAGCCTTACCACTTCCTTTGTCTGAATATAAATAAGTAAACAAGGAAGCACAGCAAAGTGTTGAAAATGTTCTGCCTGATACATATAAGTAAGCCTCTGTCGGCCCTATTTGCTTGTAATTGCATACATAAATATTTACCTATTTACATTCACAGTATAAAAATATTGGCATATTATCTGCATAGACACTGGATACTGCTTCTGTGCAAAGTCTAGCCCCTGCAAGACCCCCTCCAAAGAAGAAAACATTCACATAAGAGAAATTTCTTCAACTTACCTCACTACCTGAAGCGTCACATTATCTTTCTTTGATTTGTACTACAATTAAAGTTCTTGGAGTTGCACATAAGGAGGTATACTCTAATTAGGGATGGAATTACAGTCAGCATTCCTTCAAATAAGGAATGTCAGTGAAACTGAAAAATGGACAAGCTTAGGTGAAAAACTATTACATTGTCATTGTTTCAGTGCTCCATTTTTCAGCTACCTCTAATGAGGATTTTTGTGTCTGAAAAAAAATCCACAGAACCATAACATTACCACAGGGACGTGATAGACTGCACCTGTCATGTATAGCCAATTCAGGCATCATCCTATCTGTAGGTCCCTTTGGTGACAATACATCTAGTAATTCCAAATGTGCCTGTCTTAAAAAAAAGGCAGCATGCCCATTCTCCCTTTTCTTGATGTGGAGCTTCCTCCCAAAGTTGTGCTGGTATGAAAGCTTGGGGTCAATGTTCACATCTGCTCCATTAGACTGCACAAAAGGTGGTGTTTTGTGAGCTTCCTATATTAGTAAGAATAGATGCATAGTGCTGAAGCATTGGAAAGTTTCTCTTCTTTCTGGTGAAATGCACCACTCTTACTACTTCTAGTCACTGAAGACCTTCTGCCTTCTAATCTTGGGACTGTAATTTGCAAGTGCATTACATACGAGTGCATGTGTTTGAGATCATACCTTCAAGTCTCTATAATATTGTATATAAGAGTTTTCCTTTTGAAATTCACAGTCTGTGAAACAACTTACTTCTGGAGAAATTTTGGTAAAGGTTAGCGGCATGGTATTTAAAACTCTCTAAAACTAAATTGCTGTAACAGCTGTTCTAAACAGTGTAGCATTTATCAAATACATGATATAGCTGTGTTTTGTGGGCTCTTATTTGCAATGACCTGTATGAATCCTGAGAGGCATGTACTGACAGTATCACAGAAATATCATCACCTCTTCATTGTAAATCTAGATTTGGGGATGAAATAGGACTAAATTAGCTTGTGACAAAGAATCCCCAAAGGAGAAGTTTTTTTGATGGCACATTATCAGCAGAAGTAAAGGGGAGATTACATAGCATACATCTCAGACACCCCATCACACACCATGTCTTTCAACAGTGAAACAAGTTCCTTACAGTACAGAGACAGGAAGAAGCCTATGCAATAATTCCTAATTGTTCATTCTAGTACAGTATTTCATTACCTTCTAATGTAATTTCTGTCCCAAATCTAGCGTAGCAGCTCTAATTTCAATTGTGTTATTCCTTATTTGTACTAATATAAAACTAATTAGTCTGGTCAAAATTTATTCTGACGATGTTATAGAGGAATCATAGCAACATTTATTCTGATGCTGAGATAGGAGAAAAGCAGTCACCTTCAAAGTCAATCTCCTAGTCTAGAGAGCAACTAACAGCAATTCTAACACATTTATCTAATCATTATTGCTTGGATCTTGTCTGTGTCACTGTGAGTACATTATAGCTACATGCATATTTTATGCATTTTTGTAAAACAAGCTGCACATGTACTTGAGCTTTGTCTTTGTCTAGAACTGCTTTTGTAATGTAATAAATACATAGGATGCGGTGGCCAAGTGAAGCTTGCTGAGAAAACATCACTGTGTATTTCTACATCTGAATTTTTAGATATTCTGCCAGACTAGTGTAACAATTTTAAATTGCATTTCCAGCCTATGTATGTATTTGAACAGGTCAATGCAAAATGTTCAACTTGCAAATAACCATTCATGAGTCATGGCCCTCAATTCCAACCAGACAGCAAAGAGTTGTTTTGAAAGATGCTTTTAAATGTCTTTCTTTGTGGCCCAGAAATGCAATGTGGCAAATCCCGTATTCCTGGAAATGGAATTCCATATTCCTGAAAAAAAGACCCCACATTATCTCCTTGTGCTTTTAATTGTTCTTCCATTCCATCTTCTCATATTTTCCCACTTGTTTATTATTTCTCTTTCTCTCTTCAGAGTCACTGTTGTTACCTCCAGAATTAGCACTTTCTCCCAGGTGCTTCTGTTGCCTCCAGTGTCCTCTGCTCAGAGAGGCAATTTCAACACTGATGGTCACTGAGAAAGGAAACCAAGAGCGAGAAAGTTGAATATCCACACTTTTGCAAGCCCGCGTGCCAGAACCTCTAGCCAGATTTGGGTAGGAGTGTAAGGGAGGATGTCTAGGAAGCAACCACATCTGATTTTTCCAGAGGAAGGCAGAATGACTGCAGGGAGAGCATTAGGGTAGTTAAATGAACTGCAACCACCAGGCAGGGCTGCAGAGAGTTCCTGGGGAAGAATGTCAAGTTAGACAGGCTACACATAGAAATTCAGTTGGTAACTAAATACATATCAGAGGTGACAGTCCTGTCTGTTGGGAATGATCACATGCTTTGAATCTTAGTAGTTCAATCTTATACTGCAAGGAATGAAGACACAATAAGTAGGCAGCACAAAATACATCTGTTCTGAAATTGAGAAACATTGACGTTGCAACTGTTATCAGGTGCATACCTTTCCCCTGTGACCTTTTTTCCTCTTTTCAAAGAATTAGGTCTTTTATAGTTGATGCCTGCAGTGACACAACCTTCACATAAAAAATGTGTCTCTTCAAATAACACCTGCCAATGGTACAGTTCTTTCAGATGTAGTGATGGTCTGGTGACTGATATTTGAAAATGTGAGAGTCTAACCGTTTTAGGCAACACAGGAGGGAAATTCACTCTGCCCACATTCTTCTGCCTTCAAAGAGCATCAATATTTTCCATTTTCTCTCACCTCTTTCTGGTGGTGCTCTGTCCCACATCACCCTGTTTTAAGTGGAGTCAAAGGCTTACTTTGAACAGCTTTCAGAATGGCTTATTTTTCTAGAATAACTCAGTTTACATGTCAGTTTTCCTAGAGCCACACAAAAAAGTTCAAACCTCGTAAGAATTTAGTCTTCATATTCATCTCAGACCCAAAGCAAAGTGGATCTTTATGTCATGTTTTTCTTCTGTCCTGCCCAATTTTGTTTTTAAAAGACTTGGGTTCTTCCTTCCTTTTATCCTGGGAATATTTACCATTCCCAGCCTATATTTCCTATTTTAACATTGCATGCCTTATTCCCAAGCTGTATACCTGTCTATATCCATTATTTTCTTAATTCTTGTAGTCAAGTATTAAATCTTGATTTTGCAGTGTCTGTGCAGTAATACAAGATCCAAACCTGAGTCCTTGCCAACTTAAAAAAGCTGAGGTGCAGGAATGGAACTACGAGTCTTCCATACCATGTGGTGGCTGGGTCACAGGCCACCCCAAACACGGGCTGGGGACTGCTATCTGCCAGAACAGGGGTGGGCACTGAATTGCTGACACTTTACAAATTTGATACTTGGGTTATATGCATGACACTTCAATAGGACTAGCAGTCAGGGTAGATGCTAACTAACCGACCTGCATCTGAAATACATGGTTTGAATAAAACTGTGTCTGAGATACTAGCTTCAAATCCAATTTCACAAAAAAAAATTTCTGTGTATTCTTTCTGAACTCAACCCTCAGCAATGATATTCCTGGATGGGAAAAAAAAATATGCATGCTTGAGGAAGCATATTTTGCATTGCTAGTGAATTGTGTTACTTTGAGTAGTAGAAATACAAAGTTTTGGCAGTTCGAAATGCCTGAAATCCTAGAACACAGCCACTAGAGTGCAGCTGAACTCTATTCAGAAAACAGAGAGAATCAAATATCTATTAAGGTGCTGTAAAAAAAGAGGCAAGTAGTAAGAGATATTTGAGAAAGAGTACTGTTTTTCCAGGTACATATTTTTTTCCACTCTGTTGGGCTCATAAGTGGCATAACATGTCTAGAGATGCTGCAAACAAAAGCAGAGGAGAACACCTAGCAGACCTTAGGAAAGATGCCTACTGAGGAAAGACTGAAAAAAATGCTTTGCTTGGTCTGGGAAAGGGAAGTTGGAGATGACGGAAGGAAAAAGGAGACAAACTTAGTGACTTTGGGTGATAGCAATCAGTTGTTCTCATGACCTGTGAAAGGCTCTGCTAGCAAGAAAAGCAGCTGCAAGCTTAGAGAACGGGTATTGCAGATTGAAGAACTCCTGCCCAGTGTTTAGACTGTTCAGTGCAATTCAACAGTTCAATTCATAAAGTGCCAGACAATGCCAGCTGTACTGGGACTCAGACAGAAAATAAGGTGGGCCAAAAGAACAACTGGAAAGGGTGTTCAGTTTTGGATATGATACTGCATTTTAGTACGGTGTCTTCCAGGTACAGAGCTCTACCAGCAAACACGCAGGTGTTGTAATTGAATAGGCAAATTTGACAGAGACATTGGAGTTAAGGTGAAGATGGAGAAAGTTAGAAATGCAGCATTTAGTCTGGGGTAACTGCTCAGACCCTTTCCACCCGTGCTGTCCAAAAGCACAGGCTTCCTCCCGCCAGCTCCAGGCCGAGGCCTGGGCCTCCCCCCAGGGCCCGCTGCCCCCGCACAGCCCCTCCTGCTCTCACAGCTCCCGCTCTGGCTCCCGCCCCATCCTGGCACTCCTGCCTACGAGGAGAGCGGAGCGGGCGCAAAGTAGTTTTATGAGCGCTGTAGTAAAAAGGAGTGAACAGAAAAGTCCCTGATCAAAGTGCTAAAAGCTGGGAAAGGGAGAAAAAAGGACAAAAGCGAATCCAACTAGGGACTTTT